TAGGAGTGGGGACAGGACAAAATGTCAAGCAGTGAAGAGGGAAGAAATATTCAAAATTTTATGGGGATTTGGGGAGACTCACCAGAAGCAGTAGTGGCAACAATTTTTCCTAAAGGGCCACAAATGTCATTACCTTTCTTCACATGGTAGTTGCTGCAACCTCTTGATTATTTTGGTTGCCTTTTTCTGAATCTTTTCCAGCTTGACCCAGGAAAAGAAATTTGCAAAAGTGTGAAATTGCATTCAAAGGTGTGTCTAATAGGAAAACTTCGCACCAACATGTTGATGAATTTTTGAAGGGACTTAAAAATATTACATATGTGAAAATGCAGAGAACTGAACTGAAGGCTGCAAAAGTTGGGGGCTGAGAGAAGCCAAAATTGACAGATTTGCACATTCCTAATAGTATCCAAGACTGGTCAACTTATTTTGTTACCTGAGACAGAAAATCCCACAAGGTCTCCTCCTCCTTCCTGACAGTAAAAATAGAGTCATAGTGTGAAAGTCCTTCCAGGATGGAATTATTATTATTATTATTATTATTATTTTCATTTCTATACCACTTTGTGCTTTTAATAAAAAATCTCAAAGCGGTTTACAACCTACATTGAAACTTCAGATAAAACAATCTGAAATAAAACATTGCACAAGAAAATCAATTATAAAGTATATATTCAAAGCTACATAGTTAACAGGAAACTAAAATATTATCTTAATAATATTTCAAAATAAGACTTGACAAAGGAGGTCAAGAATACACATTTAATGCAACAAAGTTAACAAAAAAATCTTAAACATTTCAAAATTAAACATTGCTGAAGGAAGTCCACTTTAAAATAACTTTTAGAACAGCATAATCAGCAAGTTAATAAAATATTATCTTAAACATAGAATATACCTGCTCTATTTCTACCACTGCTGCCAATGTATGTGTGTATATTATTTTTCAGCTGACGGAGTGCAATTCTGAATAGAAAAATTGACAGAAGGGAAGGGTTAAGCACACCTCTGCTACCTATTCCTCACTCTAAGTTTTCAACCTCCTGCAGCTGCATTTAATTTTTTAAAAAATCTGGATATTACCACATGCCCACATGCATGTGCCATAAAATGTTGTCTTTTGGATTCTGTCCAATCCTATGAAATTTTCTTCCAAATTTCTTCCCTCTTGGGCTGCAATCTTAGGCTGCAATCCTATACACGCTAATCTGGGAGTTAGTACCATTGAATTCAATGTGGATTGCTTCCACCTAGGAACGCACTGTGCAATAGGACTTATTCACAACTAAGCATTCCTAGAAGTGTACCCACAATATGATATGTTTTTATAGTGGTACATCATATATTTGATTAGGGTTGCCATACTTCAAAAAGTAAAAACCAAGACACCCTGGGTTGTTGTTTTTAGGAGGACCCCAAGATTGGCGAGGAGAACCCCAGAGTTGTTGAACTTTTTTTTATCAACAAAGCACCACCTTTCAGAAATCCACCCCACCCCACCCCACCCTCGACATCAATTCTGCCTTATAAATTATCCACCTGAAATCTTTTAAACTTTTTTTATCCCTCCTGAGTCCTTGAGATAAAGAGCAACAAATATAAACACAGCAGTGAATTGGGAGGAGGTGTGTTTTATGAAATGATTTGGTGAGTGGCTCGTCCACTGAAAAGATCAACGATTTAGGAGTTTTCTGTTGCTATGCTTTGCAGTGGAGCACCTTCATTCCTCATTCTAGCAAGCTGAAGCAAACCCAAAGGAAAGGTATTTCCCTCCCCTCCTGTCTCCGTGAGAGCAGGTGTTTGGCTCTGAGGGACTTGCGTCTTGATTGTTCTGTGTTGTGGTGGTGAAGGGTGTTAGTGTGTCCCCTAAAGCAAAGCACACAAATAGCACTTAGAATGCAGAACCTGTGAGACCCCCTGAAGTCAACTAAACTAGGTGTCCACCCTCTTGATCTGATTTATGACAACAGAGACAGAGCGGAGCAAGCCGAATTCAAGAATGGCTCGAAGGTAGAAAAGGCTTAGCGGAGCTTTTACCAGGCCTAGCCTGAGGGGTGTTGTCTTTTTGATAGAACTGATTGGGTGGAAGAAGGAAAATCTTGACGGAGTGAACTGTCACGTAGGCAGGTGGAAGGCCCAGTGACCCTTGGCTCCAATTTTAAAGATCTGGGGGGCAAAGCGGGAGCAATACATGAAACTCTCCCTCTCCTCCTAGGCTCCTCCGCTGGTGGAAACGCTGATTAATCTCGCAATAGGCAGAATTAAAGCCTGCGTTTTTACCTGCTTTTTCAAACTCAAAAGTCTACACGATGGGTGGGCTATTAATATCTGTGAAATGTTTTAATCCACTCTTCAGGCGGGTCATATTTCTGTTGCTGAATGTATGTAGGGGGCTGGTAATGCATGCTGCTGAGAAATCCACTTTGAGCCTGTGCAAGGGTACACCAATTTTGAGGGGGGGGGGAATAGACTGAATCAGGAGCATTTAATTTACATTTTTTTAAAAAAAACTTGTGCCTTATGGCATCTCCATAAAGCTGTAGGGAGATGTTTTCTGAACATTGCCGGCGATACATAACACTGCTCTTTTACACCAACAAACTTTGGGGGTGCTGTGGAAATCCTGAATAAGTGTTTGAGGTTGTTTTCAGATACGTAAGTCCAAGCAAGCTTAAACTTAACCCTAATTGAATTGAGGTGCTGTGTTATCTTGGATGTGTAAGACATCTAATGCTGACATTATGCATCCATTCTGGTCCTGTATTAAAACAGCAAAAATTGGGGTTACTGTCATTGAGGAAATTGAAACTGTTATTGGAAATTTCTTACCAAATGACCCCCTAGTTCTTATTTAGGGGTATATTAAAAAAAATAGTTCCAACAAGTGATAGGGATATGATTTTTTATTTGTTTGTTAAGTGCTGCTTGTATTACTATTGCCTATAAATGGGGAGAAACTCAAATCACCGAGCTTGAAAGACAGGCTGATTAAAGTTTGGGACACAGCTACTGTGGCGTTTCCTTGCACTCTGACACTCATCATTGCGTCTCATTGCACCAGAAGCAGTTTGATAATAATAATAATAAATAATAATAAATTTTTATTTATATCCCGCCCTCCCCAGCCGAAGCCAGGCTCAGGGCGGCTAACAACAATAAAACAGTACAACAGTTTAGTCATGCTGGCTGCATAACCTGGGAAAGCTGTCTGCAGAGAAATGCCAGCTTCCTTGGCCTGAAAGTGGAGATGAGCGACACAGCCCATAGTCAATTTCAACTGGACTTAACTGTCCAGGGCTCCTTTACCTTTTTACCTGTTGTTGTTTTTAATTACTTTTAGAAGTTAATGACTCCTTAACTTGTTTCTCTCGAGTTTCCTATTTCTCTGAGCATAATTTGGCTTGAAGCAACCACTTGGCACCCACAGAAAGGGAAATGTACCCTTTGACCTCAGGAATCCAAGGCTCAGACTCTCTGGTTTCATAAGGTTTGTGAACCTTCGCACAACTTTGATTGTCAGTGCCCTGGAGAAGGAAGCACTGCTTTCAGGGAACTTGGCAGGTGCAACCATCTTGCAAAGTTGTTCCCAGTCACCTTTCTTTTCCCTTAAACCCAACTATTCAACCATCAAGCGAGCCTTTGGGGAGTAATTTCCAGACACACAAAGGGCTGTGAGGAACTTGCCTTCTCCAAAAGGTCAACAGGCATCAAGTGCTTAACTCCAATTGGTGCTTTCTGAAACCCTTACTCAAAAGCTACGAAAATATCTGAAGACAATGAAACATAGCAATGGTTAGGAAAAACATTTCAATTGCACCGTACATTGCCATGGGAGGGCAGGGAGTAGCTAATTTTCTTTTCTATTCAGGCCTAATCCTGCACAGATTACAGTGGCATGTGAGCAACTACAATTCCAACTAATCAAATACACTGAAGAGTTTCATTTCCAACATCTGATATTGCCACAAAAGGCAAGAGGTTTCGGTCCAATGTCCTCTCTGACAGTATCCCATTTATTTCAGTCATCTTCCTTCTTCTGACAAGTCAAAGAGAAATCTAAGCTTTAGTCAATCAGTTCATTGGGTTGCATTTAATTTATACAATTACACCCTGCTTTTAGCCCAAGGAGGTCACTTTGGAGTAGCACCACAGGTGGTCTCCCATCCAAGCACAGACTGGGCTGAGACCTGCTTAGCAATGTATTTTTGCTGTTGGACCACGTTCTATGTCCAGAGAAAAGGATTGTAGCAATGGAAGGAAGCAAAAGACCATGCAGTCCAAAGTTGGCAATGGATTGTCAACTTTTTTAGCTAGGAAGATCTCTGTAATTCCAGCTACTGCATATGTATCCAGAGTTGCAAATAGGGCAAAAAAATAATAATGTCCCAGTCTGGCCAGTTTCTTGGTTTGTTCTTTTGGTAGGCAGTTGCCAGAACAACAAATATTCTTTAAAAACTATATGATTTAGATAAGGAGTGGGGAACGGCCTAGTGGGATCCTTGCATCCCCCAGCCCCTATGAGTCAATTTTGACAGGTGGGCTAGCCTGCTTACCTTTCAGTCATCTGGTGATGACTTTCAATCATCAGGGATGACTTCAAAGGTGCTCTCTCCTGAGCATCTTTGAAGATGTGCATGTTAAGGAAGCTTTGTCTAAGGTGGAGATGCAATTCAGATGCTGAAGACACACCTCCTTTTGACACCTGTGTTTTTAGGACTCACCCTATTTCTGTGATTGCAAGTTGTTTTATATTGGAGTCTTGCACTTCTTCCCCAAAATCCTGCTCTGAATACATATCTTGGCATCATGGGAAAGTTGATTTGGCTTCTCTGCAAATCTTTTTTTTTTAAAGAAACTACTTTATGATAAAAGGATGATAAGCACATTAAAATATGAATTGGCCTTAATACCAAGCCAGACCATTGGATGCATCTAGCACAGTACTGTCCACACTGACAGTGGCTCTCCTGGGTTCCAGACATGTCATTCTCGGCCCCACCTGGCAATGCCAGTGATTGACATTGGGACCTTCTGCATGCAAAGCAGATGCTCTTGTTGCTGAGCCACAGCCTTTCCCCAAAATGAATAATAATAACCAAGAAATGACATGGGCTGGGCAATAATTGGTTTTCAATATTGCAATATATCACCAGCTAAACATCGCAATATATTGATATATCAAAATAGATGAATTAAGGAAGGACTTACACAGAGGCAAACAGGACAGTGTCCTGGCAACTGCTACCACTTAAGGGTCTAAGACTGATAATCACCTCATGGTCACTTTCAACAGCAGGCAAGCCAAAATGCATTCAAATGAGACTTTTGGTTTGAGACTTGGCTACCAAATGGACAATCCAAAGTATGGTGATGAGTCATAGTGAATACAAATAGTCTGGGACTGTCAGACTGCCAGCTGCAGCAACCTGGCAGCAGTGGTGCAATAGTCAGCAGCCTGAAAAGCCTTGCCATGGCAGTGAGCAGCGGCAGCAGAAGCTGTGGCAGCCTGCGAGGCCTTGTTGTGGTGGCAGCAGGAGTGGTGGCCTGCCAGGCCTTGCGGCAGTGGCAAAAGCTGCAATGTCTGCAAGGCATTGACATGGTGGTTGCAGTAGTGGCGGCCTGTGAGCCCTTGCAGTGGCAGCAGGAGATGGTGACAGAAGCAGAGGTGGCCTGCAAGGCCTTGCTAAGGCAGGTTGCCACAGCTTCTGCCACCGCTTCCCACTACCGCCACTTCTTGCCACCATGGCAAGGCCTCGCAAGCCCCACTGCTTGGGTCACCATGAGGCCTCGCAGGCTGCCACTACTATTGCCACCATCTCGTCGCCGCCACAAGGCCTTGCAGGATGCGGCTACTGCCGTCACCTTATGTCACTGCCGTGAGTCCCCACAGGCCTCTGCTGCGAGGACTCACAGACCACACCGTTTCTGCTGCCAAATCCTGTTGCCATGGCAAGGCCTCACAGGCCAGTGCCGTTACTGCTGCCATCCTCCCCCCCCTTCCACTGCAGGAAGCGGTAGCTGTAACAGCCTTGCAACATTAGCTGGTGAAATTATGAGGTTTAGCTACAGGTAACATTGCAGTGTTTAGCTGGGAGTTATCGTGATGTTGAAAACCAGATATCGCCTAGCCCTTACACACATTGTGATCTGCAATATATTGCCAGCTACTATGAAACAATTATCACAATGTGAACCCGTTTTTTACAATATATCAATATTTTACAATATATCTGTCAGGGAACTGCCATCGGACGGAAGGGAGGTGAAAGGGCTCACACAGGTTGGGAGAGACGCAGCAGCTGAAGAGGGAACCAGCAGGGAGGTGAAAGGGCTCACACAGGTTGGGAGAGACGCAGCAGCTGAAGAGGGAACCAGCAGGGGGAGAGGAGCTGAGCTGGAGGGATGGCTCAGAGACACTTCCAGCGAAAACAGTGGGGAGGTTTCAGGACCTCCTGTAAGAACACCCACTCCTCGCCGGAAACTGTCACGCAGAGATTCCAGAAGACGTGTTTCCGTTAAGGAGCTTTTATGTTGGAAGCGATTACGAAAGCAACCACTGTCGGAATCTGCTAGTGACTAGAGTAGCCATGTCTGAGGGGCTCCGTCACAGACAGAGGTTTGTGGACTTGAACAAACTCTGAGGGGATACGATTTTACGCACAAGCAGCTCATCATCCCATCACAGCATTCCGACAGTCTTTGAAAGCAGCTTGTGCAGGAGAAGGCATCATGAGCAACCCAGCCGGAACCGGAGAAGCAGGAGCTGGAGCGGGTCCAAGCCTGGAAGAAAGGTACCAGATGTTGGAGGTCCAGCTAGCGATGCAGACGGCGAGGCTTGAGGAGAGGAGGGCTCTGGATGCAGACAAAAAGGGGAAAGCCACCCAGTTCGCCAGAAAGGTACCAGGATTGGTGCAGAAGTTTGGGGGGGAGCCCAAAAACTATCATGGTTTTCGGACAGAAATGCAATATGCCCTCAATCTGCAGTTTGATGAATTCCCTGACGAGGAATCACGAGTGGCTTTCGTGATTGAGCATCTTGAAAAGGGGGCGAGAGACTGGGTTAGACCCCTGATGGCAGCTAATAGTGACGTCTTAAAGGACACGATGAAGTTCTTTCGCGCCATGGATCTGATGTTTTCCAGCGATATTGAAAAGGGAGTGGTGCGCAGACAGTTAATGGGTTGCAAACAGGGGAGCCGATCTGTCCGTGAGTACTGGACTGAGTTCACCATGCTTGTTCACAGATTGGGGTGGGACTTATCGGCGGAACCCATTCAAATGCTCTTTGAAGAAGGGCTTTCTTCGGCTGTGAAAGACGAACTTTCCCGGGCGCCCAGGGCGGAGTCTATGGACCAGCTGACCAAATCAGCGCTGGCCATAGGAGCGCGCCAGGAGGCGAGAGCATTGGAGAGGCGGGAAGGGAAAGGGGAACGTTGGAAGGAGTTCCGCATTCCAGACATTCCAGAGCCAACTTTCCCACCGGCAGAGCCGATGGAAATCGGAACAGCGCGCGCGCGCAGTTTCAAAGCCCAGTGAGGGGGCAAAGAAGGAGGGAAAAGGCGCCCGGAAATGCTATCTCTGCCAACAGCCAGGTCACTTTGCCAGAGTCTGCCCCCAGAGGAAAGAATGGCAAGGGATGGTAGGAGCTGTGGATGGAAGAGAGGAAAAATACCGGAGCAAGTAAAGCCAACGCCTGGCTGCCACTGTCAGGGCACAGCAGCCAGGCCAAAGAGCAGTGAGAGTGCCCACGCCAGAACCTCCTAAACCCGCCCTAGTGATAGAAGTGACGCTAGAGCTGCCAAACGGACACCCTCTAAAGATAAAGGCGCTGTTGGACTCAGGCAGCTCCTGCAATTTCATGAGCAAAGAGTTTGCAGCTGAACACCAGATACAGACAATCTTTTAAGCAGCCCCCTGCAGGTGACCACGATCGATGGCAGGGAGCTGTTGGGTGGAGAAGTCAGCTTGCAGACCGTCCCAATGATAATGAAGGTAGCAAGGCACACCGAACTGATAGCTTTTAATGTGGCCACCTTGGGAGGAGCTCCCATTATATTGGGGATGAGCTGGCTAGCGTTACATGATCCGCTGGTGGGCTGGCATCAGAGAGTGGTTTCTTTTGGTTCAGCACATTGCTTAGAACACTGCAAAGAGGGAAAGGGTTTGGCAGGGGTCCAAGCCACCCTAGCAGGGACTGAAGTAACAGAGAACGTGAAGGTACCACGACAATATGCAGATCTCCGTGACGTCTTCAGCGAAAGGGAAGCTGACCAACTACCCCCGCATAGACCCTTTGACTGTCAAATCAACTTACTCCCTGGAGCACAGCTCCCTGTAGGCAAGCTGTACGCCATGTCAGACAGAGAGATGCAGGAGTTAAGAGAGTTCATTGACAAGAACCTGAAGAGAGGGTTCATCAGAGAGTCCAGGGCGGTTGGGGGCAGCCCAGTGTTTTTTGTGGATAAGAAAAACACGAACAAGCCGAGGCTGGTGTGTGACTTCAGGGCCTTAAATGCAGTGTCAGAACCAGTAGCCTTCCCTATGCCCAGGATTGACGACATTTTGACAAGGGTGCGGAAGGGAAAGATTTTCACAAAGCTGGACCTAAGGGGGGCGTACAACCTGGTACGAATAAGGAAGGGGGATGAATGGAAAACCACTATGTTCACCCCTTTAGGGCATTTGAATATTTGGTTATGCCCTTCGGCCTACAAGCAGGCTCCGCAACATTTCAATCGTTTATGAACCACGTCCTGGGGCCTTTGCTTTACAAGAATTGTGTGGCCTTTTTAGACGACGTGTTGGTGTATTCTGAGAATGAGGAGCAGCATGTGAGAGACGTCAGAGAAGTGTTGAGCAGGCTGCAAGCCAACCAGCTGTGGGTGAAACTGGAGAAGTGTCAGTTTCATACCAAGGAGGTGGAATTCCTGGGGTATCGCCTGTCAGACAAGGGATTGGCCATGGATCCCGGCAAGGTCCAGGCGGTGCTGGAATGGAAAACACCCAAAACAAAGAAGGATGTGCAGAGGTTCCTAGGATTTGGGAACTTCTATCGTAAGTTCATCCGAAACTTTGCCCACCTGACGGCGCCCATTACGGACTGTCTCAGCAGTAAGAAGAAGTTCGTGTGGACTGAGGAGGCGGAGCGAGCATTTGAGGAACTAAAAGGGCCTTCGCCTCGGAACAACAACTCCTGCATGTGGATTTACAAAAACCGATGAGAGTGGAAACTGACGCATCAGACAGAGCGATTGGGGCGGTGCTTCTGCAGCCAGGCAAGAAGGGGTCAGAGTGGAGACCGTGTGCCTTTTTTCGCGAAAGCTGAACAAATCCGAGAGGAACTACACGGTGTATGACCGAGAACTACTAGCCATTCATGAGGCGTTCCGGAGATGGAGGCACCTGCTAATTGGCGCACAACATAAGGTGCAAGTGTGCACTGACCACAAGAACCTAGAGTATTGGAGGACGGCACGAGTGCTCAACCAACGGCAAGTGAGATGGGCCCAGGAGTTCTCCAAATTTAACTTTGAGATTAGTTACGTGCCAGGCCCAGAGAACATTAGGGCGGACGCCTCTCACGCAAACCTGAATATTTGGAGGGGAGGGGGCACCGAAGAGAGACATGTCATTCCAGAGGACCGCTGGGTGTGTGGGGCGGCATTGGTGGGACAAAGAGAACTGGTAGAGGAAACAGAGAATGATGAATACGCCCAGAATAAGCTCAGAGGTCTTAGGGGTGATGGAGAGGAACCAGGGGGTTTCGAGGAAAGAAATGGAGCTTTGTATTACAAAGGGGCACTGTATATCCCTGAAGGAGAGTTAAGGGGAGGGTACTCAAGCAGTTGCACGACAGCCCTACGGCGGGGCATTTTGGACAACACAAAACCATGTGGTTGGTCACCAGGGAATTTTGGTGGCCTAAGGTGAGGGAAGATGTACGTGAGTATGTAAGAGGGTGCGAGCAATGCCAGCGAGCCAAAGGGGAAAGGCGGGCGCCGGCGGGGCTATTAGAACCCTTACCAACCCCAGAACGACCTTGGGAGGCAGTGTCGATAGATTTTATGACTG